GCAGGCTGAGCAAACCATGGGAAGCGAACCAGTAGGCAGCACCCCTCCATTGGCCTCTGCATCAGCTCCTGCCTCCAAGTTATGAGCACTGCTGTGGAAGTGTAAGCCAAATAAACCCTTTCCTCCCCAAGTATCTTTGGTCATTTTTAAAATAATAGCAATAGTAACCCTAAGTAAGACACCAGGTATAGTGGTGCACATCTTTAATCCCAGCACTCAGGAGGCAGAGGCAGGCGATTCTGTTTTAGGCCAGCCTGGTCTACATAGTGAGTTCCAGGCCAGGTAGGACTACATAGAGAGATTTTGTGTAAATAAATAAAGAAACTAACTAAAGTTTATTTATTTATTTAAAAATAAAGTTTATGTTTTAAATGCTAAGCCCCCTTTGCCTCTCACTGTTGTTCTTGATGTCATCCCCCCACCTTTGTGACCCGCCCAGTTTGTCCCTCTCCTCCATTCCTGAGCAAGGGAATGTGTGTGGGTCAAGTTCCACCAATGGATGCAGACAGCAGATCTGGTTATCAGAGTATACTGGGGTGTCATGAAAGAAGGGAAGAACTTAGCTGAATTCTTTTTTGACTCCATGTACGTCCACCTATTACTCGCCTGTCCAAAAGAGCTTCTCAGTGAAGGGCGGGGAAAGGAGAGAGGGAGAGAAAGCGCTATCGGTTTTTGCTCCAGGGAATAGAGTAATTTGGACTTTTGTGGCCTCTTGAAGTTGCACTATCACCTGCCCTACACTTTGTTCTAAAGCACGAGGAACTGGGAGTGGGGCTCTGGCAGCTGCCAGTACTCCCTCCCAGTCAAATGAAAAAGCTCAAGGGCTGGGGGGGGGGGGTCCTGTCACCTGCCACACCAGGGTTGTCCCCAAAGGCAGGCCAGGCTGTACCAATGCTTAGGCTGTACCCTTGCTTAGGCTGTACCCATGCTTAGGCTGTACCCCTGCTTAGACCATCCCCTACAGACACCCATGAGGGCCCCCTGAGGCGTTACAGTAAGGTAAGCGGTGTCAGTCATTCGGTGCCTGGAGAACAGAGAGCTCACCCAGTGAGGGTTAGAACAGGGCTTTCCTGACAAGTCACTCAGAGAAGCACTGTGAAAGGGTCAGCGGAAGTTCCCCACTTCAAATCTTTCCTGTTTCCTTTCTTCCCTGTGCTTACCATGCTGACTTGCATGGTCTCTGCCTAATCTGGATGGAATTTCCTCCTCCACCCACCTGGCATGCTCCCTACAGTCGAGAGCACTCCTGACCACGGACTCTTGCTTCCACCCCACGGGCCAGTCTAAGCCACCATACTGGCTTGCCACCACCGGTTAGAGGCTTCTAGGGAAATGCTGCCAAGCCTTGGTTAGAGAGAAGCCACAGTTGGGCACGAGCCTGCAGACACCCAGGTATCCTAGCTCCCTGATTGGTATCCCTCCATTAGTTGCTACAATCATGGGGGTCCTCAGAGGTCCCACCAGTCTGGATCTCTTTAAACGAAGCCTTCGCATCTACCACTAGCTGTGAAGACTAAGGGGTTAGAAAAATTGATGCAAGTCTTCCCAATAGGAACTTAAGTAACCTCAGGCTATTGCTGCTGGGAGAGAAATTATGGACCATGAGATTCTATGAAGCTTAGACTTTGTGTGGAAATGGAGTCTTGCTAGACAGCTCAGGCTGGCCTTGAACTCACTATGAAATTTAAGCTGACCTCAAATTCTCTGCCCTCCCATCTCAGCCTCCAACTTCTAGGATTCCTCGCATGTACTACCTGACCTGGTCAGAAGTGCTTTTTCACACTGTCTCTGGGGTACATGACTCAAACAAAACTTCAACTGTCTTTCTTCCTACCTAAATCATATCTGCTTATGTACTTATATACTGTCACCAGTCTGTCTTCCAAATGCTCAGCCCACTAATACATCAAAATCCACAGTTTGAAAGACACCGGACATTAAAGTGGCATCAGGAGATGACAGAACCGTATGAAAAAGCCACTTCAGTATTAGAGCAGTACACATCACATCCATAAGTCCTCGTTCTGTACTGAAGACCACAAGCCCAAGGAGATCAGCAGGCTTTGATTGCAAAGGGCCTGCCCTGGGTCCCACGGCTCACACAGTCTCAGATAGCAAACCTGAAAAATAGCAGGCGAACTCAACACTCACACTTAACAATCGCAAGCTCAAAAAATAAATGCCTTAAAAAAAACTCAAAGAAATCTTTTTTCTTCTTCTTCTTTCCAAGATACTATTTACATGCACTTGGTTTCAGCTGTAATAATTAACACAAAAGGACAGTGGGTGTGCCATACAAAGGGGAATGGGGTAAAGGGGAAGGAGCGCCCATTTTCCCCAATAAAGCCAAGGCACAGGCCGGTGCTTGAGGCAGACAGTGGTTAGCTAAAGGGTTAGAAGCCAAGCCCGCCCTCCTGACTCAATTACTCAGTCTTCATCATCCAAAATAGTCAAGAGGGACGAAGCTGTGGTCTTCCCACATGAACTGTTGCCATGACGGGGGCATAACTGTGCCCTGCCACCTCGGGTTAGGTACAGACAACTGTGATGATCTTCGTAGACTCTGGCTCGCCTGTTGCCTACTTGGGGTCATACTGCTTGTGATGCTTTCTCTGTGCCCTTTTTTTTTTCTTTTCTTGTTTGGCTTTGCTGAAAACTAGAAAGAAAGAAAAACATCCTTGCTGCCCCCCAAAAGCTGCAGGGGAACACAGAAGGAACTTCACACCCAACCTGTGAGCCTAAGAACAGCAGAGGGTCCCAAGAGTCACTACTGACCAGCAGCCAGGATCAGCCCCAGAACTAGAAGAACCTGCTGACTGGCAATGAGAAACTTCATTTTACGAGCAAACCCCATAAGGTGAATGCTTGCTATGACACTCAAGATAGCTGCACACTCACACACACACAAATTCACACTCACACACTGTGAGCTATATGCTCACACACTCAGGAACACTCACACATGCACTCTCACACATACAGTTCATACTCTCTCACGCACACACATACATACATACATACACACATACATACATATACACATACATACATACATATACATACACACATACACACATACATACATATACACATACATACATATATACACACATTCACTGTCACACACACACAAGTATATGCTCGTGGCTCACACACTCAAGAACACTCACACATACACTCACAGATCACACACACATTCTTTCTCTTATACACACATACATACACACGCACACACACACTGTTATAGCCTATGTTTGTCCACAGATGGAAATTTTGGGGAAAAGACTAAGTACACAGGTAAAGACTGAATCAAAACAGGTAGGGGAAAGCATGGGAGATCTACAAAGTGGGTTACTTACAAAGGGGAGAGACATGCCTGGACCGTCAAATAAATCAAGAGGCATCAATAATTGTTTTTAACCTTCAAAGTAAGCTAAAGTGCTAAGAACCAGAACTCATGGCAAAGAGACACCAGGACTCACAGGTGGAAGGGTTCCTTCGATGGAATGTCATCTCCAGATCTGTGACCTGTTCAAACTAATAGCTCCTAAGTTTCCCCTAACCAAGATACAGTAGACTGCAGAAAATGTCCATACACTTGATCTGTCTTTCCTATACTAATGTCATCTAGCATGTGTCCCGGCTCTTTCTAAGGTGATTTAAATATCTAAAGCAAGTTCTCCCTCCTCACTCCTCAACAGAGGCAGGCAAGCAGCAGTGCATGATTCCCCACTAGGACAGTGGAGGGACAGAAGTGAAGATGACTCAGGTCTGGCAGTGAGCTGGAAGACAGGCCTTGCACGCCTAGCATCCTGCTCACTGGACTTGGCCTGTCCAGCCACTGACTGCCAGCTCTGAGAAAACCCAGATATTCATACCTGCTCAGGTGGGGCCTGTATCAGCAGTAAGGTACTGTTTCATGTGTACAGACCTGGCACCCTGCCTTACAAAATAACTGCCACTTAGTGAGGCCCCCAAGTTCCCCAAAGCATAATGGAGCTGCAGCCGCCCAGGATTCAAGTGGCTAAGAGTCAGAGGAAGCTTCTTAAGCTCTCCTCCTTGCATCTCGGTTTATTCAAATGTTCACTCCGCAGGGTTGTCTTTCCCTCGGCCCCCCCCCCCCCCCGAGTTCCAGCTCTAAAAGTGCAATGTCAGTACAGGTATTACTTCCTGCGTCTCTCGCAGGGCCTCTCTAGGTCCAGCACAGGCAGCTCTCCGTCTAACAAATCTCACCTGTTCGAGATGCCACTTGACAGAAGCGCATGCGAAACTACCTGGGGGAAGTGGCCAGGTCAAACTGCAAGCCTATTACACAACCCGCAGCCGTACAGTACAACTCTGCAGGTCCACGTCGCAGCAAATGAAAGACAGCAAAGATCCCTGTATGTTCCACAGTCTTCTAGCAGAACTGGGTGGGAAGGGAGGCGTCACGTGGAGTGTCGCTGATCCAGTAACCCCCCCCCCCCAAAAGAGCTGCCCGGAGCCTGGGAAAACGGCGAAAGAGCGTCGCTTGCTCTTCCCCAGCCCCTAAACCAACCCAGAGCAGCAGGCACGCGCCGGGGCCAGAGGGCGCGCGGCCAGGGAAGGGGGGGGTACGTTTCTCGGAGGAGCGCGGCAAGCGCTTCCCGGCCACCAGCTCCCTCAGAAGCGGCGCACGTGCAGCGCCCGCGCGGTCCGACAGAGCCACAGCCACCTCCGCGCACTAAGTGCTCAACACTTGTCCCCCGGGATAGCAACGGGGACAGAAGTGCAAGGCTCCCTGGCGGGATCTGGGGGCACTCCCCCGGGACATCGCGGAAGGAGCGACATGGTGCGCTTTCCCGGAGCCACGGCTGCACGCACCAAATCCGGGAGAGAGCCCTGGCCTGTCGGCGCGCCCCGGGGAACCGGCAGCGTGGCTTCGTAGCTCTGCCCCGAGCTGGAGCTGCGCGGGATGCAAACGCGCGCGCTGCTGAGGCTGCTCTCCCGGCTTCTTTCCCCCACAGTCCTCCGCGCCTCACCTTCACGGAGTCCACCGGGTACATGATGGAGTGCTCCAGAATCCCGGCCATCGCTCCCGCTGTCATGTGGGTGGACACCGAGGCGCTGGTCGGTAGGTTCTCGTAGTCCTCCGACCCGGCGTCCTTGCTGCCGCAGCCGCCATCGCGGCAGTCCCCATCCATCCTCCGGCCCGCAGCCTGGCTCCCCACGCCGCCACGGCGGAGCTCCATCCGCGGCCCCGCGGGGCGCGGGAGGCGGCAGGAGGTGAGCAGGAGGGGGAGGGGGAGGAAAACTTCACTTCTTAAAGTGGGAACCTCCTCCCCCGGGTTGCGGCGGCTGACGCCATGGCGGGCTGGGGTGGAGCCGAGCGGCCAGAAGCACCAATAGCTGGAGAAGAAGAGGCCGGCCGTGGCCGCGCTATTGGTGCGCCGGGCAGTGGGCACCCACCTCTCTGTGTGACGTCGCTGCCCGCTGCACATTTCCAAGCAACCGGACGGGGGCGAGAGCAGACATTGGGGTGTCCCGGGAAGTTGTACTACCTAGGGGGTGGTGACCATCTGCAAGGGACAGTCAGGTCCCTGGGGAGAGTCAGCAGAAGGGATATGCGCAGAGCTGCAAGATCAAGAGAAGGGGCTGTCCCCAGAATCGGTGGTTTTGCAGACACTAATCAACCAGCTTTAGCATTCCGAAGGCTGGGGATCTGGTAGGAGGTGAGGACTGTTACTGGGAATGTCAATTATGAAGCAGAGTGGTTGGACGACGAAGTGGCCATAGGAATCTAGAATCGAGGATACACCCGGATATGTGCGCGTTTTGTGCTCCACTAGGGCACATTCCAGGGAGTGAACAGTTAACACTCAAGGTCCCCGCTTCTAGTCTGCTATGCTTGGGGAAAGCTCTTCTGAAACCAACGAAGGTCTAAGTGTGTGTTGCTCTTGTTCTTTGAAGAGCCAAATCCACCCTGCCCTGGATGGACCAAGACAATAGAATCAGGAACAGAACCCTTCACTAAGCAGCTCCTTGGGTCATTTTCTTGGCGTTTGTAAGATTGCTAGCTAATGTCACAGAGAGAGTGCCCAAGTAACTGAATAAAGCGTTGCAACACTGCCTATCTTTTAAGGCTGTTCTTTTACAGCCATCCCTGCTGACCCCTTCAATGAATTAGAGCCCAGGATGCTTTATTTTAACTTAGTATTGCCTTGCTCCATCTGCTGTTAAAACGAGAAATCAAAAAGCAGGGGTCTGTCTGCTTATGGGTGGCTCTGTCCTGAGATACGTTTAGGACATTATCCCAGGGTTGAGGGCAGTACCAGGGCCTCCTTTGCTTATGTAAAGATTTCCAGGCAGAGCAGCAAGACTGGGCAATGAAATAAGCAGGGATGGGGAAGACCTTGTAGACCCTGGGCCTGGCCTGTCAAGCTTCAGGTTAGCACATCTCAAGCAGCCCTTGGGGACTCAGCAGAGAATAATAAAGAGGTCAGGGCCAAGTACACCGTTTTCCAGTGTTCTGTAGCTGTCCTAGTAGCTTCCAGGTGAATCCTGAGACCATGAAAGTAGACACCAGATCACAGTCTAACAAAGGTGACAGAAACATGGCTCTGCTTTTGACAAAGGTGTTGTTTTAAGAACTGTTGGTTAGAAGTAGTTGATACTCCCAGGATGTACACCAGCAACCAAGAGTCTGAGGCAAGGGGATTGCCACTAGTATGAGGCCAGCTTGTGCTAGATGGTGAGTTCCAGACCATCCTGAGCTCAGTGTGAGACCCTGTCACACACATACAAAAAATGGAAATCTTCAACCAATACATATGGACTCCCTATCCCACTTCTGGATTTGAGACACAAAGACCCGAGATACATATAAAGCTTTTTGAAAGCAGTATTTGTAGTAGCAAATACTTACAAGCTATCTAAACATTCAGTAAGGGAGGAAATGAAGAAACAATGATGTGTATTGGTGAAATATTACACACACGCGTAAAAACTGTGGTTGTTATTAGGCAATCACAGAGGAAATGATTCATACACTGCTGGGTCAAAAAAAAAGCAAAGCACAATTCTGGGGCCATTACATCCTCAAGATGCCTGTGCACAGAAAGAAAAGGGAAAGGGCTTGCAGTGGTGATGGGATTGCAGGCAACTATTTTTTTTTCAGGTTTCAGTTCATACATTATTTCTGTGATTTAAAAATAAAAGGATTTATATACCACACGCTAATGGAAACCATCTGAAATTGGCAACAATGGCATTGGTGGAAAGAATTCAACTTATGGATGACTAAGAATATTCTTGGAAAAAAATTTTAAATTAAAGATTCTTGCAAATGAGAATATGACTATAATCTTTGGAGTCAGAAGATTTTTAAATTATTTTTTAAAAATTGTTATGGTGTAGCTCTTGCCCTTCATCAAAGAAGCTTCCCTTTGAAGTAGACAGAGACCGTTACAGAAAGCCACAGCCTGTCAAATTGCAAAGAACAACGGACCACGGGGTGCCCAACCCCAACTGATACATCTAAGACACAACCCCTACACCTAAAGCTCACATAACATAGAAGTAGGGGGGACAGAAAGATTATAAGAACCAGAGGACCAGGACATCTGTTAAGAGGCCACGTCTTCTATATGACAGGGAAGCAACACCCAGGAAATGGCAACCATGTTGTGGAGACCTGAAAAAGACCTGAAAAATGGCAGCACCTATAGACATGCAGGCATGGTTGGGAAAATTCTCACAAGGCTCTACCCCTAGATGAAGTACTACAGGCAATTAATAGTTGCTAGAATACAAAGAATCAGTCTTCTCCTGGGACAAGCCCCCTGATAGGCTATCCAAGAGGTCATTCCTAACCACATATGAGCAACACTAAGTTATCTCAGCAGGACGTATTTATAAATGCATGTGTATATATGTAACAATAATAAAGAATAAGAGGCCTGGAGCTAGAGAGATGGTTAGGGGTCCTGGTTGCTCTTCCCGAGGTCCTGAGTTCAATTCCCAGCACTCATGTGCAACTCACAACTACCTACAACAGGATCTGACGCTCTTTTCTAGTGTTCAGATGCACACAAAGCACCCATATACATAAAATATACAAATAAGCAAATCTTTTTAAAAAATAATAAGAGGCCGTGAATTTGAGGAGTACATGTGGCAGAGAACATGAAAGGAATTGGAGGGCAGAGAAGGGGAAATGATATAAATACAGTACTTACGTGTGAAATACATACAAAAATAAATATTAAAAATCAAAATATGAAAAGAATTCAAGAAGTCAGGCCCAACTGCAAATTTGTGTTGGGTTTACTTTAAGTGCTCAGCATTTTTTTCTACCTCTCTCTAGGGTGGACTGATTGTGTGCTCAATGCTTATCTCATACTCGGTGTCTTGCAGTGGCCACATTTCCTAGATACACTTGCAGCCAGGGGTCTAGATGTGCTGCTCTTTCAGTAGATAGAACTGGAGGGATCCAGAAAGCAGAAGTGCAACCAGAGCCATTTTCTGCTGCTTGCTGTTCTCTGCTCCCTGAGAAGGCTGCAGACACTAGGGTAGGGGTGTTAGGGAGGATAGTGGCTTCCCTCTGCAATAGCGTTGGAGTGTCAGGCCACCAGATATATGCTTGTCGGGAGTCTCTGATGGCAACCTCCCAATCCCTTCACCGTAGTGTCATATATGGCCTCTTGATCCCTCACCCTCAGGGATGTGAAAGTTAACTGTTCCCCTCAAGAAACCATCTTGGCTATGTGATTCTGTGAATTATCCTCAGAGACCTAGCCTGGAGTTGGCTCTCCACACCTCCAACAATATTATGCATAACAGTAGAAAGGCCCAATGGTGAAGGACTCTCTCCTGGACATGGCAATTCAGCAGCCAGCCCTGCCCCTCCACTTCTGGAGGAAGGCCTGTTGGGACAAGGCTCACATTCCAGTTCTAGAACCCTGTGTTTTAGACACACCCTGCACAGGGGAAACTGCTCTTTCTTTGAAAGACAGGAGCCCAGAAACTCAGAAACAGAAGACTGGCTGCTGAGGTGATGATGTTCTCTCCAGGGTCAGGTCCAGAGACATGAGCTGCTGATTCTGCTGGAGTCTTGCATAAAGTTCTTGACTATTGAAGGGCCGAAGATGTCATTATGCCATCTGCCCCAGGTCAACTGGAAGCCAAGCTTAGCTTAGAAAGAGGAAGTTACTGAGCATGCAGGGTGCACAGCCTCTAAATTTGGCTCAGAGACATGTGCCAGCTCTGGTTCTACCATTTACTGACAATAGGGCTCTGGCCTCTTCCTTTGAAGACCATAGCCATAGATAAATAAAATAGTAAATAAAATACACCAGTACTAAATAACCACATATTAAATAAAATACACCAGTAAATCGAGACTGAGAGCCTGCATGTGCCAGCTAATTTTAACTCAAGTATACATACACTAAGAAGACCACAGACACCTTTAAATATATACAATCCTCACAACTGCACATATGTCTCCTTAGAATCCCAGAATCCCTTGCTTTTCCAAGGAGAGTATTATTTATAGACTTTTGACCTGTGGGATAAATTTCCCTCGGGGATAACTTTCCCCGGGACATAGAAGAAGAAACAAAGACAAAATGAAGAGGTGGGACAGAACTGCCTCAGTTTACCAGGCTTTCTTTGACTGCTGATGATGACAGGCAAGGGTTAGAGTTGAGGATTGCAGCAGAAGATTGATGTTAACCCTCTTAACCCGCTCTACCTCTTAGAAGCCTGCCCCTTACCCGACTAAGTCACTCAAGTGCACAAGTCACCATGACATGTGACATCATGTATGACATCAGCCAAGCTCAAGTACTGAAAGATGGTCCTTGGGGGATGCCTGCCCCGTGCTGCATGGCCTGAAGACAGCTCGCAGCAGCATGTGTGCACTGCCGTTGTCCTTGCTCTCACACCAGAGCCAAGCCTCTATCAGGCTAAAAGTCCCCAGTGGCCAAATGGCATGGCAATGCAGCGCTGGTGCCAGGAGACAAAGCCATGTCAGACTGTGGCTAAAGTTCCATGTGCCTTTGTAAGGTGGACCACAGGCCAGCCCCCAGCTGCTCACTGTGTCAGCTGAACTTCCATAATCTTTTCCCTCTTCCAGCCCATTTCCACAAACACACTGGTGCCAACTTTACCTAATAAGATCTCTCTTCCCAGCTTCACCGTTTAAAGTGGCCAGTCCCCTCCCCAGTCCTGAAGTCCCTGAGTTACTTCATCTGCCTCACTCCTTATGGCACACTTTTTAAACTTCTGCATGGTCATTTTTAACCCTTGCAGTTTGTAGGTTCTCAATCTTAGAAGGGTCACTGATGATTTTAATGCCAAGTCAGACACTGCTCCCCCAGGCCCTACCCCCTACTGTCACTGTCCTGGCAGGAAGGAAAGTGCCCTAAAGGGGCATTTATACCTCTTTGTTTTGCCGTCAGGCTGTGGAAAGGATTCCTAAGAATTTGGGATCTCCCTGAAGTCTCAAGCTCATCGAGGGAAAAGGCTGGGGCCATTAGGAGGAACTTACCTCTCAGGAAGAGATTTCACACAACTCTGACCACGTGTCAGACCACCTTGCAGAAGAGAGCAGACTGGGACAATGATGGTAGGAGAGGCTGTGCTTTGGACAGGTCTGCTTCCTTATGCCTCCCTCTTGCTTTCTAAATAACGTAAACCTCATGTCAGGACCCAGAGCATGGGGCTTGGAGAGAGAGGGGCTCCACAGACCTCTTCATCATTCCTCTTCCCAATGTGGCCACATTGAATAAGTGTTTTTCTGCTTTTCACTATTAATTGTGACAATAATTGGCCTGTTGAGGACAGGTGACCAAACCTAGCTTGTTAGGGCTGCCAGGGCCCCAGCTCTGCCCCTAGCAACTCTGGCAACATCCCCAGCGTGAACTCGCTCCTACCTCTGGAATCCTCTCACTTTCTACTCTTTCATCCCTTGACCTCTCCTTCCTCTCCTTCCCTCCCCTCTCTGTGATTCTCTTGCCCATCCTAATTACCAAGCCCAGCTCAGTCATACATCCTACCCTAGCCTGTGCTCTCCACACCTGGTTCACATGCTCCCAGACAGCTCCACCTGAATATGCTACCACACCTACAGCTCAGAGTTGATTCGTGCATCTTGGGCCTGCTAGGCTGACAGCTTGAGAAAAACACATTTATTATATCTTCTGAAGTGTAAAATCTACCGTTGAGGGACAACAGGATCTCTCTCTCTCTCTCTCTCTCTCTCTCTCTCTCTCTCTCTCTCTCTCTCTCTCCCCACCCCCTTCTCCTCAAAGCTGTCATAGAGGATCCTTGCTGCCCCCCTTCCAGCTCTGGAAGCTCCCTGCCACCTCAATGTTCTTCATGTGAGGTCAGAAAGCAAGGAAGACAAAGGAACAAGCGCAGGCTTGGGGAACACAAATCTCTGGTATAAGAGAAGCCACTCTCCACTTACAGGCATGGCACTGAAACATTGCTTCTTTGGCCTCCACTTGGCCATTGCTAAGTGTAGCTAAGTAGTAAGATGAGTGATAGATTAAAGCATGTCAGGTGATAGAGAAACATCTCTAGAAGACATGACGTCTGGGGTGGGGGCTACTGATAAGGCCGAAGGAGCTCAGATCTAGAAAAATAAGTAATTTTCATCCTGGAAGCCAAATTACTATAGTTTCTAGAATCAACACTGATACAAACACGAGGCCATGACTAACACCCCTGACTTGGATTCTATTAACTGGGTAGAAGGGAGGGTATAGCTGGTACTCTCACAACTTCTTCCTGTTACACGGGAATGGTGTCCTCATCTGGGGAGTCTTGGGGCAGTTTTTTATATTGGGAATTTTGAAGGATGCTGTCCACATGCTTTTTGGCAGTGTCCTGGACAAAGGAACCAAGTCTCTGGGACACAAAACGGGTTAGGCAGTTCAGAAGACAAGACCCAAATGTCAGTAGGAAGAAAATGAAGAGAAGAGGTCCCAGAAAGGGAGTCAGCCAGGGCAGCCAGCGTCCAGGGTCGGGCCACTGTCCCCAAGAGTCAGAATGCTGGCCAAGTTCAGATGCTCGTTCTCGGAGTTTCCTTGCCGCGTCTCGGACTATTCCAGACTGGTTTACATAGAAGCAGCACTCTTCCTGGAGGAAGAGACAGGTCCCCCCTTTCTCGGCGGTGATGAGGTCCAGAGCTCTGCGGTTTTGGAGAACAACACCCGCGAGCGAGTCTATTTGGTTCTGGAGGGTAGTGATAGAGGAAGCTATTTCTTCCAGGGTTTCTGAGAGAGCCTTAGAAAGCCGTTGGAAATAGAAAGTTGAGGTGGCCAAGCCAGCTATGCCCGTGCCAAGGGCAGAAGAGATCCCCAGGCCTGCAAGGAAGGGGAGTAGATGAGGGGACCTCTTTGGGCGAAGAGCTGAGGCCGACGAAAGAACTGAAGCAAAAAGGGGGACAGGCACCGTTTGGTTATTGGGGAGGAGTTCAATATCCGGGTATTGGAAGACAAGGGTACAGACGCCAGACCAATTGGCTGGGAGGCAGACATAAGTGGATGTTCCGCAGAGGAAGAAAACTCCTGAAGAGTTGAGGCAGAATGCATACGAGAAGCTGAGAAGATGTGAGAAAATGTTGGAGGTGACATCCCAGTTTTCTTGGATAGTGATCTCATTCTCCCAGACTGAATATTGTCCAGACAGGGCAGCTCCCGCTAGGGGCTGGTAATGGGAGAGCGGATAGGGGTCTCTGTGCCCCTGGAGTTTGACCTTGAAGTGGGTAGGGTCCACTGACATGGTAATGGGGTGGGTTAAGTTGTCTGATTCAAATAAGGTAAGGTTATAGCAGGTTCCGGAGGGAGCGTGAGGACAGCGCATCCAGGGAGTGGCTGGGGAGGTATGGCAGTATTTCATGTCTGTTGGGCAGGGATAGTAAGAGGGCTTCGAGAAGATTAGGGATGGGGGCCCGGAAAAACGGAGTGGGTTTTTCCATTTGGCGTCGGGTCTTTTCATTGCCTGTTTAAATAAATGGGTGGTGGAAAGATCTAGGTTTTCATGACTGGTAGAAGGTGAAATACGAAGGGTGTAGTTGCAGAGAGAAGCAGAGAGGTTGCCCACAAAAGTGGCATACGCTGAGACCTTGAAGAAGCGGGATATGCAGAGTGGGGCCTGTGACCTGAGCACGGTCTCAGTAAAGAGTGGTCCCCAGAGAGGGCGTTGGGCAGATTCGAAGAAACGGTCCTTATCAGGATATATCACAGAAGTTATCCGAGTGATGATCCGAAATATGCCCGTTGAGCTGACGAGTTGAAGAAAAGCAATCGCCCTTCTGTCAGGATTGTGGAAAGAATAGGAGGCAGTCAGTGGGTGGAAGAGCCGGAGGCGTCTTTCAATGTCGCTAATGGGAAAGGAGCCAGGGAACGGCTTGACTGAGTAGGTAAGGTGAAGCTTCATGGGTGTGTCTGTCCAAATGGACAGAGGAGCTGGGACTGCTAGGGACCGCTGGGTTTGGGTGGACAAGCAGACCCAGCAGTTGGAAAACAGGGAAGAGTTGGTATCACGTAGGATGTTGTGAGTGAGGTTTATAAGGGGCAGCCAGCTTTCAGGATAGGACAAGGAGGAGGGGAAAAGGACAACAAAGAGGACCCAAAGGCGGGTCATGGTGCTTTGGGAGTGGCCAGCAGTAGTGTGGGATGCCGAGAAGTTGGTCCTGTGGACTCTTGAACACTGAAACTTGTTCAGTCCGGGTGTTCAAAGGTGGCTGGTAAAGACAGGGTGACTTCAGGCTCTCAGGTTATGAGGTGAGAGGTCAGACCTGGGAGAGGAGAAGCATAAATAGGGAGAGAGTCACCAGAAGGAGTTAGGGTCTGGAGCCCTTTGGAGCTCAGAGTAATCATCCAGTGAGAGAAGCCCTTTACCTTTGCTACTGTTGAGGTAGTCACAATGACCTGGGAAGGTCCCTTTCCAGAAGATTCAGGATGAGTATGAGTTTAGGAAGGTGTTCATGAGCCAAACGATGGCAGAATGTGGCTGGTTAGATGTAAAGCACTCCGTGCACCCAGACATGGGAATGAGGTGCTAGCGAGAATGTAGTGACGGGCCAGCCGCGCTTGAATCCTAAGAGGCTGAGGTCAACGGGCTCTTCTGGAGAGAACCTGAAAAAAGAAAGAACAGTAGAAGAGCTGCCCAGGACAGTTTGACTTCAACCACAGGCTAAGTGTTGTTTGAGAAAAGCATTGCCATGGCCCACCAGCCCTGAGGACTGAGGTCTATAGGGAATGTGAAAACAGTATTTGATGCCTAAGGGGATAGCCAACCATTGAGTTACCTTAGAAATAAAAACGGGTCTGTTGTCAGACAGACAGTGGAGGTGAAAGCAGACAAAGCAAGGGGTGATTTGAAATGGAAAGATATGAGTGGCCTCTGTGTCCTCTCAGACCTAGTGGGAAAAGCCTCCACCTATCCTGATATAGTGTCGCCAGCAGAACAGACACCCAGAGGGCAGCATGTGGGAGAAGTCCATCTGCTAGTTCTGTCCCAGGAGATGTCCTGGGGCTTGGTGAGTGAGGAAGGAGGCGTGGTGTGAAAGGTCTGTGACAAGGTGGGAGAGTAGAGACAGGTCTTGGGTAAGGTGAACAAAAGCTGCTATCCCATATCATGTAGGGTGGAAAGGAGGTCTCATTCTTGAATAGAGCAGGGGTGATGGGATTCCCAAGAATCTTTAAGGATGGCTTGACTCGTCCCCCCACCCCACCACCATCACCAGAAATACAAACATGGGAGGTGGATAAGTTTAAAGGGGACAAGGGCTGGAAAGATGAGAGAGTGAACAAAACAAAACAAACAAACCAAAAAAAAAAAAAAAAAAAAAAAGACAGACTCTGAGCGAGCAGACTCCAGAGGACTGGAAGTATGCAGGGTGGAGGCCAGTGTTACCTGTGCAGTTTGGAGAGTTGCCTTTGGCTACGTGGCCTGTGCAGTAAAGGACTGCTGCAGCCAGAGGCAGCCAGGCAGCTTGAAAGACTTTGTCATTAATGATAGGTGCTCTGGGGAGTGCAGACAGCCTCTCTCTCTTACCAAATTGTGTCATGAGAATTAGAACATGGCATGCATATTTGGAATTGACTGAGATGTTAGCCTTTGGCTAATGTGAGTGCCAGGGAAGAGCAAGGAGTTCTGCTTGCTGTGGGGTGATAGGAGGGAAAAGACTGAACTTCTTCTGTATCATCTGTGACAGAGTCACAACCTGCTGCTTGATGGGATTCTTTAAAAAAGCTTCTCCCAAGGGGCTGGAGAGACGATGGCTCAATAGCTAAGAGCACTTGCTATTCTTCCAGAGGCCCAGAGTTCAGTTCCCAGACCCCATGTCAGGTGGCTCATAACCATCTGAAACTCTACCTCTAGGAGATCCAATGCCTCAGACCTCCATGGGTACCTGTACACACACACACACACACACACACACACACACACACACCTACACATAATTACAAATAATAAAAATAAATCCTTAAAAAAGAGGTCCTGTCAATGACCCAGTTAACGGCCCCAGCAATGAGAGCATCTGACAGGTGACTAAAAGTAGGAAACAAAGAGTCGGGGTATCAGTGCAAGAGCTGGAGTCCTCAGGAGGACTAAAGTCTTCAGGAGGGTGGCTGGATTAAGAGTTTCATACCTTTAAAAGGTGACTGGGGGAGGTGGCAAGGTCTATGCCTGTTGAATTTGAAAGGGAAAGAAAACGGGTCAGAGACTTATGATCCCAAGGAGACTGTTGCCGACAGAGACAGTGATGAACTATTCCTCTTTGCCTGTCTTTGTCAAAACCTTCCTGCATTCACTTGGACAGACTCTGACCTCCAAATGTTCAAACAACCCTGAAGCCCTTCCCCAAGGATTACATAATACCCCTCATCTCTTTGACCTGCAAGTCCTCCTCATGATCTGCTAAGCCTCAAGCTCCTCCCTGCACATGTCAACATGTAGACAACCTTCTTCTCTACAGACCCTCTTCTGGCCTCTCTCTACAGTACAGTACAATGCAGTACAGTACAGTGCAGTACAGTACAGTACAATGAGTCAGAGGGTGGCTCTGAGAGCTTGTATCATTAAGACAGACATTTCTGAGTGTCTTTAAGCAAATGTGCCAATCCTTTGCTACTGAGTCTAACTGTTTAGACAGGTGGGCTACTATTTGGACATGCTTCTCCATACAAGTGACATAAGAGGCCTAAGGCTAAGTGTACAAACAGAACAAAAGGTTTGCAGAAGCAGTCAGAAGAGTCTCTTTAAGTTTGGAGAAAGTAGGTTTGGAGAGGGTCAGAGGTTCTGAGAGAGTAGTACAAGTAGTTTGATAAATTGGTTTGACTAAGACCCCAAAGTTGGAAATCCATATTAAAAAGTAGCCCACTAGGCTCAGAATGGAGAGAAGAGTCCCATTTAGTTTTGTTGTTGTTTTGGTTTGGTTTTTTGTCTTCTGATGGATGGGGTTATGTCTGAATTATATCCTCAAAGTCTTGCAGTTTTGAGATATGCCAGGGGAGGGGGGTTACAACAAGCCAAGGTAGGTTACCTGGGAGAAGACCATCTGAGTATCCCTGGGTATCAGCTAAGAAATTAAGGAAGGTGAAGATGTGCCATAGAGACAGGCCAGAAGAGGGTCTGCCGAGAAGAAGGTTGTTTACATGTTGACATGTGCAGGGAGGAGCTTGAGGCTTAGCAGATCATAAGGAGGACTTGCAGGTCAAAGAGATGAGGGGTATTATGTAATCCTTGGGGAAGGGCTGTCAGGGTTGTCTGAGTAGACATTTAAAGGTCAGGGTCTGTCCAGGTGAATGCAGGAAGGTCTTGACAAAGACAGGCGAAGAGGGATAGTAAAGCGTCCGTGAATTCCAGGCCTGGGCAATGGCAGTGGAAGGGAGAAGTGGGATAGATGGATGTAAGAATGGGGGATGACCAAGGGGAAAGAAATTTACAGTTGGGTTAATCAGGCAAGGGTTGGACTAGATGACAAGAGCCATCTGGCTTCCAGAATGCCAGAACAGGAGGGCTAGGGGGAGAGTTTATAAGCCCTAAAAGTAAGCTTTAAGGCCTCAGATAATTATAGGCTTAAGTTCCTTGAGGCCAGTTTGGGGTAAGAAGGTATTGAGCCTTGCATACAAAATAACAGCAGCAGCAGCAACAACAACAACAACACAGACAAACAGAAACCCCAGAGGGACCCTAGAATTTAATCAGGAGGTTTGCCAGGTAGCAACTGTGTGGTAGGCAGAATCCCAGACCAGAGGATAAATGGAGAATAAAGAGCAGTGATGTCCTGGGACCCAGTAAGGTCTGATGGCAAAGTAGTAAGAAGGAGGTTTCTTTGAAGGGACTCTGTGACGGAAAGATAAGAGAAGTGTGGAGCTTTTCTAGAATGCCATGTCCCAGGAGAGCAGTGAGACAACTGGGAGCAGAGAAAGAGATAACCCAAAAGGTTACGTAGTCATTGACCAGTCTGTTTAGCATTAGTGGGAATGATTTTCATCCCCTGAATAGAGAAAGGGATCCCCCATACAGATCCAGCAAATTCTGGTAAAACTGAACAAATCACTCTTGTATGAAATAAAAAAAGAAATACCTTACCAGCTAAAACCAGTGTTCCCCAGATTGAGTGAGGGAGATTTGGAAGCTGTACCTCCAGGGGCCCAGCCGATCGCCCACGGTGGTCAGTCTCTGAAAATCTACGGAGCTTGAGTCTCGTGATTGGGATGCAGTGTCATGTCGTCTTGCCACGCACGGTTTGATTTCCAGCGTCCTTTTCTCCCTTTGCTCTCGTGGGAGCAGGAGTGAGCAGCAGTTGTAGGCCAGGCAGATTCTTGCTCAGTGGCCCCTTTGAGCACATTTAAAGCAGGCTCTGGGTGGGCCTATCCCTGAGTGGGGAGGGTATCACGCCTCTGTTTTAAGTTATGCGATGAATCCTGGTGTAAGGCTACTGCCAGCATTTGGTATTCTGCCTGATCTTGTTCGTGTGTTTGAGATTAAGAGACTCCTCTCTGTTATTAAAGACCTTAAAGGCTATTTTGTAAAGTCCCTTTGAGGGTATGGGGGGCATTCCTCTAATAGTTTGAGTTCTTTCCTAGTACGGGTACCGACAGAGAGATAAAATGAAGGTAGAGATATAATCTCCCATCAGGGCTCAAGCCAGTGTGTTTGGTCATGATTTTGGGAAAGCAGGAGAAAAAGACTGCTGGATTTTCATCAGCTCCCTGAGAAATGTCTTTGGTTTTTTGTCATAATTGACTGCCTTAAGGGAAGCCTTTTTCATTCTTGCTGGGAGCCATGCAGTCATCTAGGAACTCATCTGAATTGCATGGCAATTCCAGTGGATGTCTGAAACTGCCGAAGCCCCAACGGGGTTATAGTCCCTGGCCTGGGTGTGAGGAGTGCTGATGTGTGCATGGCCTGCCATGAGCTGGAGCTCAAGGTGATTATGTCATGTTGGGTCAGGTCAAAGGACTGGGTAAGATATTGGTATCTTTTGTGATAGGCATTGGGTTGGAGCAAAGGCAGTTCAAACATGTTTCTGGTTTACATGTGACATAAAAGGGAATATGGACATGCAAGAGGCCTTCAAGGAAGGCAACCTCACAGAGTGGAAGAATGGAGTCAGCCTTGTCAGGAGG